ATCAATTTTCCAAACAACGTTTATTCGAATAAGCGACACTTATTCAAATAAAAAAAATGAATTTAGAAAGCCCCAAACAGATGTGCTTTATAAGTGTTTGGCTCATATGAAATGTTAAAAAAAAAATTAGGGGGGGGCGGGGGTGTGGAGGACTCTTCAGCATTTCCCAGCTGTGCTCTACACCCAAAGAGAAAAAAACAACAATATTCCTTGTCGCTTTTGAGTGTTGTCCTTCACGCGACTGAGGCCAGAAACACGACGCTGACGTTACCAAACAAAACGGAAATACACACGTGCAGACATAACATAAACAACCCGCACGCGCGCGCACGCACACAGACAGGCACACACACACACAGACACACACACAGATTGGCGTACACACACAGGCACACAGACAGGCACACACAGACACACACATAGACAGACACACAGACACACACAGACAGGCACACACACACAGACACACAGACACACACACAGACACACACACACACAGACACACACACAGACTGGCACACACACAGACATGCACACACACAGACACACAGATAGGCACACACACAGACAGGCACACACACACAGACAGACACACAAACACACAGACACACACACATAGATTGGCGCACACACACAGACAGACTGGCGCGCACGCACGGACACACGCAGAAGACCGCTGGCAACCCTGGCAGCCCCCGTGGTAAATCGCTCAGGTCGGCGTGGATTAAGCGAAAAGGGAAATAAATATGGCTCGGGCCCCGTGGCAAGCCGAGGAATGTTAATGGATGTTGTAGCTCTCTCTCTCTGCCTTCTCCCCATGGCCGTCGCTCTGCTGGCTGGGGAACAGGTGGGCAGAGGCACAGCTCGCTTCAAAAATACGGGGGATTTCACGGACATGGCTGATGGGACTCTCTTTGGCATGCGTGAGTGTGTACGTGTGCTTTTTTGTGTGGTGAGGTAGCTGTCCGTGGGTGGTTTGGCAACCCCCCCCTGCTCAGGTTTCATTTCAGCCGAGGCTGTGGGAGGTTGGGTTGAGAGGGGGGGAGGAGGAGGGGGGGTGGCGTGAGAGGGAGGGAGGGTGCAGTCGAGAAGGGGACTCCGGGAGGTCTGGAACACTGCCAGTGCCGACTCTGTCCTGCGGCTCACAGCGACACGACCCCCAAGCACACCGCAGCCGCATGAAGACGTGACAGCCTCTGTGAGCATCTATCATCCCTGCTGCGTACGCGACGGCGCAACTGTCTCAATATTTGCGCACGCATCGGAGACGCTTTTTGCAGCGTGCCCCGCGCGTACGTCACGCGGGTGTCAGGCCACGCGGCCGTTCAAGATCATTCTGCGTGGCACCTAAGTGTCAATTTCACAGAAAATAGTACGGCGCACGATGACGTGGGTCTTGTTTGTGAGACTATGAGTTTACCGTGTCCCTTATCGTAATCTGGGCAAGATTTCCCACACTCGCAGTGTGCGTGTGCACCGATTGTGTCCGGTGAAGTTTTGCATTTGCCAGGGTCACACGTGGGACAAGGCCACGATGCCCTTCTGTGAATCTGTGGAGCTATATTCTTGGTTCCTTCGGTAAAGTCACGTAATAAAATAATAAAAATAAAACATAATAAAATAATTCTCACGACGTTTCGGCTACAACGCAAGCAGCCGTCCTCAGGTGAAGAATGAAACACCACCAAGCTTGGAGCGTATCACCTGAGGACGGCTGCTTGCGTTGTAGCCGAAACGTCGTGAGAATTATTTTATTATGTTTTATTTTTATTATTTTATTAGTTCCCTTCTACGTGACTTTACCGAAAGAACCAAGAAGATGAATACCTGCAGTCACGAAAGCTTTAAATCGAAATCTGTGGAGCTAATTATCGAGAACGGTCAAAGCCAGCGAGGAGACGTCCACGCCCCTCGCGAGAACCATTCCTCACGCAGTCTGGTTTCGAGCCAGACAGAAAGCACTCGCATCCACCCTGACCTCATTCCTCCGCACTGCCCATGCCCTCCGGGAACCAACCACAGACATAATGACCGGGTCTACCCAGGGCTATGCCAAGCCCACGGATTGCCACGTGACAACGCTGCGTTGTCCGCTCGTGGCTTGTGGTGTACCCAGAAGTTCGTGGTTCAAAGTTCATTAATTAAGTATAGCCCTGTGAGCCATTCGGCTCTTGAATCGGGTGCAACCGCAACAAACAAAAAGCAAAAACATGAACAAGAAAATATCTTAAAGTGAATATGTGACTGAGTGCAAACAGAAAATCCAAGAAAAGACAGCAAAATATTGCACAAAAATCACCTTACACCAACCCTGTGCAAATATCCCAGTGGGATGCAAGTCAAACAACAACAACCACAAGACAACTTAGATTAAGGCCATCAGTCTAACTCTGTACTACAACAAACATGGCCAAACCAAAAAACTTTTCGAAATCACCAAAATAAAGCCATAAAAGCAATGAAACAGTGGTCATAGGAACTGTGACCGAATTTTCACAATAAACGACGTAAACAACATGTACTACCAAACTCTGCAGCCATAGCTCGTGGTGTGGTGAAGTGGATGTACACGCAGCGAAGAGAAGGCAAAACAAATGTCCAGTCCCTCTTCAGAGTGCGGGTCGACTTTCCAGCGCGAACTGTCCACAGTGGCTTGTTGTTCAAAGTGCCACGAGGTTTGTGGGGATGTGTTTTGTGTTGAATGTCCCATCTCAGATGGAGACTCTTGCTATGTGACGGTATGATGCACACATTCTGGAGAGGCGATGTCAAGATAAAGACATATTACTGTGTTAACATCCAACATTCATCTCGCCTAAGAAATAATGACCACACAATCACACAGTCAATTTCATGGACACATTCATTTTACTAACAACTTCGAAAGTGGCCACATTGAAGACCATCTCCTGACAAACTTTGATGGTTATAACTCAAACTAATACACTTAGGGTTGCCAATCCACTTTGTGACCGGACTGGTCAGGTTTTTGACCTTGCTCGTTCCATGCCTCTTACCAGATAGAAAACTTGGAGTCGTACAGGGCCGAACCACAACACGGCATGGAGCGTGCGTGATGGAACCCGGAGTGGAGTGCACGTGCCCCGTGTACGGGGTAAGGTGGGGCACACAACGTGGCACGGAGTTTGCCTGATGGAGTCGGTTTCAGTCCAGAGTTTACCTACCTTATCAGATTGCTGCACCTACTATTTAAACATGTGTTCAGAATGCCTATAGGCTGATGGATTGAATGCAGTTTTTTTTTCAGTGGAGAGATTGACTTTTGTTGGTTTTCATCCTGTATTTATGTGTCCGTATATATAACCATTAATGCATTTATGTATCGTGTATAGTCCCCGCCCCCGGCTAGCTCATTGAAGTTTTCTGAAATTGGGAAAGTTGGCAAACTTCGTCAATGGTGAATGTTCTTTTTTATTCTTCTTATTCTCCTCAAAAAATGCACCACACGTGATTTATGTAATCATCATCAGCCATATGTACAGGACAGTATATTGATCTCATAAATTATTTGATCAGATCATCATAAGGCCATGATCTAGCCACTGCTGGATGACGGCCTCTTCAATCCGCCACCGTTCCTCACTGTTCTGCGATGCAGCAATCCATGTAGCCACTGCACATGAGCTGATGTCATCGCTCCATCTCCGCGCAGGATGTCATCTCTCTCTCTCTCTCTGGGGCGTATTTCATCCCTCCTTTAACGAGCACTCCGTCGCTAGTCTCGACCCCTAGCCATCACATCCCTTAGGTTAAGCCATGTTTGTTTGTTGTAGTACAGAGTTAGACTGATGGCCTTAATCTAAGTTGTCTTGTGGTTGTTGTTGTTGTTGTTTGACTTGCATCCCACTGGGATTTTTGCACACAGCGTTGGTATACGGTGTTTTTTCTGCAATATGTTGCTGTCTTTTCTTGGATTTTCTGTTTGCACTTAGTCACATATTCACTTTAAGATGTTTTTTGTTCGTGTTTTTGTTGTTGTTTGTTGCGGTTGCACCCGATTCAAGAGCCGAATGGCTCACAGAGCTATACCTAATAAATGAACTTGAACTTGAACTGTCCTGCCCGATCCCATGTACATTTTTTCATGAGGAAGTTAAGCTTTCAATTGCAAACTGTACATGTGGTTTACATGAGGTACATGTTGGTGCGCAGTAAATAACTAACATTCTTTAAAATTATTTTACCAGGCAAGGCCCACTGAGCTATGTAGCTCTTTTTCAGAAGCGACATGGCCGCAAATGATAGCTCAACGAAGTGGCTTATCGCGTGGCAATTTATAGCAGCCAAATACCCTAAAAGCATGTTTCTTAATGTGGATGGAAAAACCGGAGAACCCGGAGAAAAAGTCACGCGACCACGGGGAGAACGACACGCAAACCCCAAATATACATCAGCAGGCGTCAGGGTAGGGATCGAACCCACGACCTCCTGCCTACCAGGCGAGGTAGTTAACATCTCCTAGCCACCGTGATGATGATGATGAGAGAGAGACACGGCAACTCCATATATACAGCAGCAGGCGTCAGGGTAGGGATCGAACCCACGACCTCCTGCATACCAGGCGAGAGAGTTAACATCTCCTAGCCACCGTGATGATGATGAGAGATACACACAAACTCCAAATATACAGCAGCAGGCGTTAGAGGTCGGAATCGAACCCACGACCTCCTGCATACCAGGCGAGGTAGTTAACTTCTCCTAGCCACCGTGACGATGATGAGAGAGAGACACACCAACTCCAAATACACAGCAGCAGGCGTCAGGGTAGGGATCCAACCCACGACCTCCTGCATACCAGGCGAGGTAATTAACATCTCCTAGCCACCGTGATGATGAGAGAGAGACACGCCAACTCCAAATATACAGCAGCAGGCGTCAGGGTAGGGATCGAACCCACGACCTCCTCCATACCAGGCGAGAGAGTTAACATCTCCTAGCCACCGTGATGATGATGATGAGAGAGACACACAAACTCCAAATATACAGCAGCGGACGTCAGGGTAGGGATCGAACCCACGACCTCCTGCATACCAGGCGAGGTAGTTAACATCTCCTAGCCACCGCGGCGCATCTGCCCACGGCCATGGCTGTAACGTTGATAGAGATACGTCTGCAGACGTCTGTGCTGCCACAGGTGGCGTCAGGCCAGAGGTCGCAAACGGGTTTTGATTCCTTACCCGTACCCGGCCGCACCAGGGTCGCAAACGGGTATCGGGTACCTGATTGCGACCTCTGGGATGAAGCCATGTTGCAGGCGCGGGTGGGTTGATTCTAGGAACTTGAATTGTGAGAAGAGACAAGACGTTGGGAAATGAGTGACAAACAGTTACTCACCAGTGACTCACGGTCTACCCGTACCCGTACCCGGCCGCACCAGGGTCGCAAACGGGTACCCGTACCTGGCCGGGTACGGATAGCCGGGTATCGGGTAGGGTACGGGTATCGGGTACCCGGTTGCGACCTCTGCGTCAGGCACATCAGTGAACGTCGCCCCATCGCCATCCCCTGGGTGCAGCGCGGGGATCTCTCTGTTCCTGCTCCCCTCACTCGTTCTCTCTGTAACCATAGACAAAATATACGGTGCAGCCGACACCATGACGAATGAATGCTCCCCAGCGGGGCGGTGCTGGGCGGGGGGGGGGACAGGGAGGGAGCTTTTTGCGTCTGTATTCGTCTCCGTAAAAAAAACCGTGAAGGGACGTGTAAGACAATTTATTACCCTGGCCTGGATCTCAGAGGCTTGGCTGTAAGCAAATGAAAACATGGACTGTTCACGAATGACCACCCAGACACCCACTCCCGCTGACTGTGTCCGTCACTTCAGATGAAACTTTTAAGGCAGCCGATGTCCGAACTTGTTTTTTAAAATTTGCATTTTAGTGCCGGAACATTGACTCACAACATGCAAACTGACGTAGGTTGGCCACAGACGTATGATAAATAAAGAGATACGGGAACAAGATGTATTCAAAATAGGTATGAGATATGTAAGAGAGAGAGAGAGTGAGACTAAAACGGGAGATATAATACCGACAAGATTCATTATTTAGGAGAGTGACGTAGAAGACAACAGCTGCACATTACAGTCGTAAGAGAGACAGGAGATGGAATCAGAGGAGATATGAGCGAGATATAAAATGTATTAAAAAAAACAGGAAATCTATAAAAAAAGAGACATATTTTCACAAGTAAGAAATAACAGAGCATCAACGCCATCCAAGAAGTTGCGCTATGTTTTTGCATGCGTCACTTATTTTCTCATTTTTTTGTTTAAACTTTATTCTTAAAAGCTGCCCTTTGTCTTGAAATGCCATGCACTTGGAACGCGTGCTCGATGGAAGTAAGTATGTATGTACAGTTTGTTGAACTTCGTTCGCACCATATGTGCTCAAGGGAGGTTAGATGCAAGGACAACAAACAAAACACAAAAAGCATTTCGAAAGGAATGGGTTTTCAATCTAGATTTAAAAGTACATAGCTCCAGTGGCTTCCTAATATCAGAAGGACAAGACCCACAAAAGACCCAAAGAGATCCAGATACTCGTATAGAACCACAGAGACCCACAGAGACCCATACTCATATATATGTTGAACTTCTTTCACACCGTACTTAGCCAACCGTGCTAAAAGGAGGTGTGGGGCAGGGCAATGACAACAGACTAAACACAAAACGCAGTTCTAAAGAAATACATTTTAATTCTAGATTATTTAAAAGTGCATAAGTGCGCTGCTGCTGCCGCTGCTACTGCAGCAGAGGCACGGGCAGCTCAAGGGAGCAGCCTGGCTCGCGTCGAGTCTCGCGAAACGGCGATAACTGCATCCAAATTGTGGATTGAGGTCTCCTGGTGAATACCATGCAGCAACAAAAAAACATTCCAACAACGTGGAAATGAAAGAAATGGCAACAGCTTCCTTTAGAACGGTATTTTGTTTTTTGTTGAAGGGTTGTCATCTGCAGGGGATGAATATTGGACCACGCCAATGGACACCGGTTTGGAGTTTACATTGTGGAGTGCTGTACTGAACTACTGACAACAATGATCGTCATTCATGTATTCAAGTTTTCAAGACAACTTTCAGTAAGGGCCTCTACTGAGAGTTTCAAACATCACACAAAGACGCCTAAAAAGCACTCCGCCTTTGTGCATTTTGCAAAAAAAATCCATCAGCAGTTCCAGAATAAGTGCATTGTGATACGCTCGTCTTACGTCACCATCAAATAAAATTTGAGCAAATGTGACTAAGTGACAAGCAGCAGTGATACGGAGATATAACACTGTCGACTGTATTTGCCAGAATTACCATTAATCAATCCAGTAAAGTCGCCGATGCTTGCGACAAGTCTGCTGCTGGAAATTATGTAAGTCGAGCCCATAATTCCGCGGTACGAGGCCCATTATCTTGGCGAATGCCAACATGGCATCAAATATGTAAATGTCGAGAGAGAGAGAAAGAAAAAAAACCAGCCATGATAACAGTAATAAAATGCAGGCCGAAACCGCACACGTTTTAAACGACACGCAGAAACGTGCATTGTGTGAAGAAGAAACAAACGACACCATCAATGATTTCTGACTTGCAGAAAAAAATAATCCACTTAAGCTGAGCTTTGCAAGGCACTCGAGTAAATGTGGCATTGTCCAAATGCGGGCACCCCACCATCCTCGTCGCGTCGGTCAACCATCGCAATGCAGGACCCTCTTCAAAGGCTTGTGAGACTCGTCCAGGCGTTTCCGAGTAACGAATCAATATTTATTTGTCATTAAATGTATAAAAGTCAAATAACACCGTTTATTAGTGTATCCTCCACGTAGATGCACTTTGGCAGTCCCTGGTTGCGTTAACGGCAACTTGTACGAACGTTGTTTGGGAGTATTGTTTGGGTCTTTAGGTAAAGTCACGTAAATAGGTTCAAAGCAAATAACAAAAAAAACAAAACTACTGATAATTGTTTTTTTTACCCTTCTATCTGTCAACAAAACTGACACCTTTTTTACAAGGAGTTATGTTTGCATTGACGACAATACCTGCAGTCATAATGCAAACAAAAAACACAACTTTGATAATGTATGTGCACTGCCCTTGAAGTTGATTGGTCCACACCCGAGACAGCTTTCCTTAGAGGCTAGTCTCACATGGGTTGGACCAGATGACGCCAAAAGAGTTTTTGCGAACGGTGTTTGCGAATCACGTCTGCTGTTGCCTGCTGCTGATGTGAGGGAATGTGCATCGGGGTTGATGAAATTTGTGCTTCGGCACGCTTCAGGTGACCCCCGCTCAATCCGTTTGGTGCCACTGCGTCTTGTCGCAGCACTGAAGGTGTTTGCCAGCAGCGGTCGTCCATTCTGGCGAATTTCCCGATGATGCTGGATGCAATTACCAGCGAAACGTCGTACTCAAATTGTAAATGTTGTGGTTTCGCGCTTCAACACACCGGTGGGCTAAAGCAGTGAACTAATTTGTCTTTTGTCAACGTGACACTTTTTTACTGATTGGCCGTGTCGGGTGGTGGAGGGTTATGACACATTTATAAATAACGCGATCTAAACCCAAAAACGTTGATTATGGAGCGGTCGTCTCTTTGCGGCCCGAATTTCTCTTTAGAAGAATGAACTCTCTCACCTGAAGACGATTGCTTGTATTGCGATCGAAACGTGATATTTTTTATAATGTTTTTTTTTATCTACGTGGCTTTACCGAAGGACCCATAGAATTTGCATTCCTGCAGTCACGAAAGCTTTAAGTCAAGAAAAAACACATCGTGCTGGGGCAGCACCGTGGGACTCAAAATAATCGGCAATATTAATCGTCTCGATTTAAAGCTTTCGTGACTGCAGGGATTCATCTTCTTGGTTCTTTCGGTAAAGTCACGTAGAATGGAAATAATAAAATAAAAAAATAAAACATAATAAAATAATTCTCACGACGTTTCGGCCACAACGCAAGCAGCCGTCCTCAGGTGAAGAACAGGTCTGTCGAGAAGACAGCGTCTGAATGACACACTCCAGACTTGGAGCGACTATTTAAGCTGGGGTGGAGGGGGGAAGGGCGCCTTGTGACTTTACCGAAAGAACCAAGAATATATTCATCGTCGTTGTGTGCTGTATTTAGAGGAACCTCTCGTTGGCAGTCCCAACCCTGCCGAGGAATCAGTAGCAGCCATTACAGCTGCATAGAATGTGCACGCAGTACTGTATACGTCTGGACTGAATGCATATCTGTGTGTGTGTGTGGTGATGTACCTGTACAGCCACTTTTTGTCAACACCACCGTTGTATGAGGGCCCCTGCCCACGCTGTATGGGTACTGAGGGGTTATTTCACCGCACTGGTTGCTATGGGTTTGTGAAGCTGTGGGGAGCAAAGATGTGGGTTAATAATACAGTACAACAATGCACTTTGCTGCACCCTCTCCTGCTGCCCATGATATAGCCCTGCAGCAGTCTGTGACACCGGCTGTATGTCAGTATGTGTATCAGCCATCAATACAAGCACACAAGCACTATCCAGGCTCAACGGGTACATGCTGGGTGATTTGGTCACGGGCGAATCGTGTTTGTGTGTGTGTGCGCGCTGTATAAATGGAGTGGCAGTGCAGTGGTTAGTGCGATGCGCGATGATAAAGCAGCAGTCTGAGTTTGAATCGTGGCCACAGCTAACCGCAGTGGCGAGTGGCTATCAGCACCTCTCCCTGGGCCTCTCCCAGGGAAACTCAGCCACTCTTCAGGGCTGTAAACATCCCCGCTGTGGAGACAAAGGTGATCCATGAGTGATGGTGTTGATCACGCCATCCTTGCACACGTAACTTGTTCCAACAATCTATTAAAAAAAAGCTATGAAGGCAATCTTTTTTGTTTGTTATTCATGAACGATTAAAACACACGGCTGTGTTCTGCTGCCACGACGCAAGCTCACAAAAGTCAAGTACAGAATGGTCCTGCCAAGGAATTGCATTTATTATTTAAATACACGTTTGACCACACGAGTGCTTCTAATGCAACAAAGCATTCAGTGGACGTGACATCTCCCTGATCCGGCTGTCATTACACCGTGTTCCGAAATGTTCTTGTTCAAAACTAATAGGGTGGTTGGGTTTTTTTTTGCTTGTTGTTGGAACGTGTCGATTTATTTATTTTTCTCCCCCGCTCTGTTGAGCTATCTCACTCTTCACACGGCAGTGCTGCGACGTCAGAACCAATATCGAGTCGAAGCAGCACCTTGAGTCGCGGTGTTTGCGGCTGTAAGTGCACCTGCGTGCACAAGGGCACGCGATAAGTCGTCTGTCAGCGCTTTTGACCCACTTTTACGGCTGTTTACCACGTTTTGTAATCACGCGTTTGTCGGAGAGGGGGGGGGGGCCTGTGTGTAAAATTTGAATCGATACGCCTCCGTAATCTATTAACTACATTTTTGTTTGTATTTTACCAGGTATAGCCCACTGAGCTATATAGCTCTTTTTTAGAAGCGACCTGGTTTATGTGGCAATTTATAGCAGCCAAATACTCTAAACGAATGTTTCTAAATATAAAGGGAAAAACCGGGGGACCCAGAGAATAATCGAGAAGATGCAAATAATAAATATATAGGCGTCAGGGTCGGGATCGAACCCACGACCTCCTGCATGTCAGGCGAGGGAGTTTACATCTCACCACCATGGCGTGATTGGAGACAAGGCCACAGGAGGTCATAAACCAGAGCCTAGTTACCAATAGCACGCCACTTTCTCACGTGGAAGGTCAGTGACGAATGTGATGGAATGATGCTCAATATCACGCTTTTGATGTGGTCATTTGTTGGTACAGGTGTACACGGTTCCAATGTTTATCCCAAACTATCTGGCCTGGTGGCTCAGCGGTAGAGTGTGGGGCTGACAATCGGATGGTTAAAATCATGGTTTTGGGCGGGTTGATTTAACCCATCATCACTCCGTGGTCGTTAAAACGAATACCACTTTATGGGGAAGGTAACAGTGATTGTCCTATTCCATTGGATAGTGGAATTTCAACCACTGGCTCAGGGCTGTAAACAAGAGATGAGCACTACCTCATTGCTCATTAGAGCAGAACATTTTTAGTATTTTTTAACTATGTCAAACTAGGATAAAAAAAAAGCCAGCGTGGCATTGTGTAACAATTTATACACAGCCATTGAAAGGTTTGTGTTATCAAACCTTATACAAACATCTGTATGCACATACAGATGAGTACACACATTACACAAATCGTGAGCGATCGATATAAATTCTAATTATGTTATCGAACGACTGGAAAACTAAAGATTGTCACGATATACATTCTCATCATCGCCATCATCTAAAAATCTACCCACTCCTGAATGAAAGCCTCCCCAAGACATTTACATCGCTTATGGGCCAAAACGTTTTTAAAACCTAAATTTTAGATTTTTGGCTACCAAAATTATTGGATGAGTAGTCCAAACCGAGGCCTCCAGAGTGTGCATATGGGAATTTTTAAAGGTGCAAAAAATATATATCACAATTTCCTACAAATCTAAAACAATAATGTTGAAATTGAGCCTCTCACATTACACCCCCCCCCCCCCCAAAAAAAACGATTAGACAAATGGCTAAAAAGGCAAATGGCTAGAAAAACAAATGGCTAGAATTCTGAAAATAAGGTGGAATTTAGGCTAGTGCTGTACATAGACGAGTCTGAAAATGAAACTATCCAATTTGGGCCCACAAAAATGCGTGGGTGAATCTTGCTTTCTGTTTATGTTTGGACCGAAGCTTGCAATATAGCTCAGATTTGGAGGTTGTCAATGGAACTGAATCCAAATATTCTATCAGATTTTCAATAACGTAGCTATTTGGGTGCTTTTTGGAAGTATGGACAGAAGCAGACAAAGCCTGTTGCTCGTTACTTAGTTACTGTTACTCGTTACTAGAGTTATTATTTCTTGTTACTCTAGTCTCAAACATAATAACTGCTAAATTGCATATTTTTACATGTTTTCCTGATACTGTACTTTTCACAGGTAAAACCTTATAATTTTAAGAAATGTTTATTTATAAAAAAAAACACCGCTTTTTTGTCACTCCACTGCTGGATGAAGGACTCGCCATGCCATCTCAGTCAGCTACGGATAACTTCGGTGGCGAATGATATCTGAGCCTATCTCGACCTTACCCCTCCCACCCTTGAGCAGTCCACACTGAGCAGCAGTGAAAGTCTGGTAAAGCAACCACCTGATGACGGACGCTTGTGTTGCTCCCCGAAACGTCGTGATTTATTTTACTTTATACCTCCGTGACTTTACCGAAAAAAACAAAGGGTATGGATTCCTGCAGTCACGAAAGCTTCAAATCAAGATTTTTATCTATGAAGTTTAACACAATTTCAACTGCATACAGTATCATATATAAAATATATATTGCGCAGTGACTTGCAATTCTTGGAGCTGTAGTTGATTGTATACTTTTCATACTTATGACTAATGTATTCACCCAGGGGAGTGTCGTTCAGTCTCAATGTTCATTTTCAAGCGAGGAATTAGTTTTTTTAGTAAATTCGGCAGATTCGTTGTTGTTTGCAGTATTTTCGCAAGCAGTCGGAATCTGGACTTGCCTGGAGAACCCCCCCCCCCACACACGTTTGAGAAGAAAAAGGATCATGAAGCTCTCCGCAGTCAGGCCAACATCCTTCATGCTGCTGCACTCTCTCTCCTGTTGGCGCATTGCCCTCCGTAGGTGGGTGTCGTCGCACACGGGACCAGATGTGCGTGTTCACAAAACAGTCAAAACTCGTGGCTTTTCGGCAAACGCACCCCACCACTGTTGCTAATGGATACGCCTGGACTTTTTTTGTTTGTTTGTTTTTACCAACAGGTTAAAATGATATTTCGTCGAATCTGTCTCAACGGAACACGCTTTCTTCATCCGTGGCCTGAGAATGCCCAATTTGGTCGTGAAGCCCGGCCGGTCGCTAGGAAGGTGAGTTCTGCGTGCAGCTTACGAGCGCGCGGGATTGTGAACCACAATTAGGGTTCGACCGGCGCGAGTAATAAATCATTCCGCCGGGCGCAGGACTGCAATTGCAGCATGCAGCCGGTTTCAATTACCCGGCACTAAACCGCGAGGCCGTAGGTTGATTTTCAAAAGAGGTGGTCAGTTGTAGCCAAAAACATGTGACAAGGGTGAGGAGGGCTCACCGCAGTAAGATGAAGGTGAGTGTCACGTGGCCGAAGCGACAGAACTTGAAAACTGGCACGCCGAGAGCCGTGAAGAGGTGTAAAAGAATAGCAACCCACGATACAGATAGCCCCTGTGAATACTTACCCAGGCGGTGTGTCCCAAGCTGCCCGATGTGAGTTTCAACCTCTGAAAATTGGGGGGAGGGGGGTACTTTGAAAGTCATATTCAGGTCATTCATCATCGCAGTCTAGGAATGAGTCGAGGGGTTAAGAGCTATTTGTCTTTTTGGTTGCATCCTCCCAGAACACAGTAAATGAGTTAACATGTTAGGATATATGCGATTGAGATCACTGTAGTGATGTCATTAGAACTTGAACATTAAATAAATGTGAAAATTATAATAGTCTTTTAATGAAATACCTGAAAAGGGAATACCATTACAAGTACGGTCCAGCAATATTCATGTGGGGTCGAAAGCATGCACAAGTTAGAGATATCACATTTACGATTGAGCAAAGTAAATGACCTTGGGCAGGACATGTCACTCGCAGAGATGACGGCTGATGGTCGAAACTTACGACTGAGTGGCAGCCAAAGTAGAGAACGCAGCCAATTGGACATTCACCACGAATGTGGAACAACGATATCGGCTGTACGGGTTGCAGCATCGCGAGACGGCGATGGCATATTGGAAGGCCTTCATCCATCAGCAGATGGAACACGGTCACTGACGATAACGGTGACTACAGAAACGCAAATGCTTTTGGGCCAGTTATTCTGAGTGCACACGTTGCCGCTGGACGAGTATTTCTCCCGATCGAGGCGGCGAGTGACAATGATTGACTCCGGTGCGTGCCCGAGTCGACCGCTGCCATCGTCCTGTCCGGAGAAGCGACGGCGTTGAGAGTTCCGCCGCTCCAGGGCGGCTGACACCTTTGTACCACATTCACCCCAGGCCACGATGATGGAGCACGCGCAGCACAAGCCTCCATTGAGCAGCGGCGTACGTACAGCGCACACTCGCGTATTATATTCCCCGCTACGTGAAAGACCCATTGCTGTACTTGGAGGGCATTTGACCTCAGAAGTGCCACTTAGCAAAGTTGAACGCCTTACTAAGAAAACAATTAAGTCCTGCGTCATGTACATTGCTTCATCTGGATAGATTTATAGCCGTCCAATCGCATTCGTGTATCCGGAGCGGGATTTGGTTTCTCTCCCTCTCTCTCTTCTTAGAAGCGACTGTTCTCGAGCTCGGCTGATATCTGAAAAATGCTAGGCTCTAAAAAACAAGTGCTTGTCGGGTAAGTCTCTGGGCTGATTTTGCTTCCTCCATTGGATCAGTTACTGCGGAGTCCCCTAATAATTCACGTTTAAATTGGCTCGGGCTGAAATGTGGAAATTCCTATGGTTTTGAATTACATGGCTGCCCCTGACATTTCCTGTTTCATAAATTAACAAAAACCAAGATAAAGATAATGAGGGCATTCACAAACCGTATTTATGACGGTGGCAAGTCTAGTTTTAAAATAGGAAACATACGCCGGACACCCCTTTGGCAATGGATAAATATTTTTTTAATTTAACGCATTAAAACCTGATGCTTTGATGAAATGTTATTTACATTCAAAAGCAGACTATCTCGGCAAGGGAGCGCATATCAGCCTCCATTTGCGAGTCAAAATACATTTTTAAAAAATATATATTTACTTTTCTGGGACTCGTAGAACGCTCTAGTTGGTAACGTCAAATCTTGTTGCCGTGACGTTAAAGCCCCCCCCCTCCCCCTCTCCATCTCTGGGGCCCTCTCGGTGCCTCTGTCTGCACGTATCATCCGAGCCTCCCAGCCCGAGGTGCCTGCACCAACCCAGAGAGGAGGTGAAACACAAGACGGTTTGAAATTACTGCGAATAAAGAAGCCAGGCGCCTGTGCTCAGCAAACAAAATTTACAATATTGGTGGAGTTTTTTTTCTTTCGCAATCGGTGTACGTCGCCTACTTTTCATTTCGTCAACATGAAAAAAAGTGCCTTTCCAAAATATTGGCCCGACTTAAAACAGTGGCCCCCTACTTAAAGGGAACATAGGCAGAGCTTGTTGAACGCCGTTAATGTGGCACCAAACTGCTCGGATAAGTACCCACTCGGGTGCGCTCTTCCACTGCACCCCTTCCGTCCCTCGCATCCTCTGAACCCCCTGGAAGTTCCCGCGCCAACAAAACCTCATTCCCTGCTTCCATCCCCTCCCTTCCCCACCAGTTGCCATCAACATCGACACACACACACGCGCGCGCGCGCATACTCTGCCCCAGCCCACTCGTTCTTTGCAAAAGGCAGGCACAACGATACAATTACCAGCCTTGGAAGTCGTGCAATAAACGCATATCTAAACCAGATGTCTCGAGCCAGCCCCCAGGCACTCTCTCAAGAGCACAGGCTGCAGGGCACAGACAGAGGGACATAAAAAAGTATACTCGCGTACGATAAAGGCATTCTAAATTTCCTCTTCCTTTCATTGGCTTAAAAAAAACGTGTTTAATTTGTCTTTACGAGTTGTGGGGGTGGCAGTGCATTGGTCGGCATACTGCACTGCGAACCCGGCGACCTAAGTTCAATTCGCAGACATCGCGAATGTCAGTGGCAATTGATACCCGAACTAGACTTGCCCTCTTGCCTCTCCGTTCACCGAACTCCACTTTGAGCAGCGCGGTGAAGTATGGGTGAAACAATCGCCATTTAATGAAATGTGTAGGGAAGGCCTTCATCCAGCAGTGAATTGCCAAAGGACTGTGAAATGATGAGTGTGCTTTCAAACGGGCTAATATTTCTCAATTTGTAGGACGTACTCCTTAAGTAGAAAATTAGCTCTGACCTCACATGGATCAATGTCGTTGTTTGATTGTGATTGTATGGGTTCAGAGTGCCACGTGTGCTGTGTGGGACGCGTGAATGCGAGCATGGGCACCGTTTGAGATGAATCATCCACCACATTATCTGTACTGTTCCAACACTGGTTACCCAAGCAAGCGTGTGAATCTGAGCTCGTGACCCAGTGCATGAGCTGCAGGGCCTCACTGCCGCTCCTGTAAACAACACGCATCGGGCTGGTCACGCGATGGATCGTGACAGAGCGAGCGGCGCAGACCCCGTGCTCGTACACATTTGAAAGACTTGGCTTCCAGAAATCTTATTACTACAACAACAACAACAAAAAGATTCACCGTGATCGTGAGCAAAACTCTTTTATAAGGTCAACGCAAGACGGGTGGCTTTTCATGCACATTGTTTACACGAGGAAAGGCTTGGGCTGATATTTCTCAGCCCTAACAATATCGCCTTGGCCTGGGAAAAGGCTCATGACATAATAGCGCAACAATGAGCACAGTTTATAATGAAATGTCAGGCTTTGATTAATGGTTGGCAAGAGAGTGTTTTTGATAGTGTTTCCCCTGTATTCCCTAGAGGATTTGCCGGGACGCGTAAACTTTCAAGTCGCGACAATTGTACTGTTGCGATGATGGTCTGTGGTGAAGCCATTTCGTCTTGTGTTTTTATATATTTTTTATCCTTTGGCCTTCCCCACTGTCCTGCCTACATTTGCTCATGTAGACGTGATGTCAGTTCTGAGGGATTGTGTCCCAAAACAATATTAATATCGTATTTTTGTCTTCAGGGAAATAATGCCCTATATTAGAGATTGTTTTGCAACCAAGACCTTTAGCCCCAATGATCTAAGGGTATAAAGATAATGAATGAAGATTAAAGTGAGTGATATACAAATCTGCTTTGTAAATCAGAATGGAATAAAAGGAACCATTTAAGCGATTCTTTAAGAAAACAAAATCACATCATCAACATTCACAAGAGGTGTTTTTTTTGGGTTAGATCACATAAATATAAATGTTCGGGTCGTTAAACCCGCCACCACCCGACACGACCAATTAGTCAGGTTTGTCACGACAACAAAACATGCCAATTAGTTACTAGTTCGGCACACCGCTGTGTTGGAGAGTAAACCCACGACATTTACATTTCAACATTGGCATCCTTTTTCAGATTCCCATTTTCACAAGAAGTTTTGCTTCGGAGGGCAACACGGTATTTTTTTTGTTGTTGTCGCTTTGCTTCCTAACCACTCGCCACCTGCCCAACTGCGAACAGATTTTACTTCCGCTTACTGCCAAAACACAGCCAGGGACGGACGAGCTGGCTCTGCCTCCTCTCCATTGTTTTCAACAAGGCTCCCGTTATTCCCGGCCGTGAGGTGTTTTTGTCCTGCATGGGAGAATTCCTCGAGTTATGGTGGCGGACTGCCGCGAGAAACTGCACCTACCGTGCAAGTGGGCTCAGCGGGTGCAAGCGGCCACGGCTGTTCTGTCCACATTGGGCCTCCCTTACTGACAACCATCGAACGGCGAAGAGTTTGCGCAGAACTGCTGCCGTTCACGAAGGAAATCTGAAGGGGGGTGGGGGGGAGGGTCTATCCTGGGAGAAAAAAACTTGACAACCCCACACATATATAGGTGCTTTTTGGGGGATAGGTCATGCTGGCTTTCATTTAAACACTTTTTGTTAAATCCTTTATATTAAGTTCGCTTGCTTGCTTGTTTGCGTGCTTGCGTGATTGCTTGCTTATGACCGTGCAAATCTTTCGGTCGTTTTTTAACCCACTTCCCGTCATCCAATCGAGCTGACATTTTCCACACAGACTCGTTGTGCGTGACAATTAATTTTCGTGAAAAAAATTTCCAAAATTTTACAGTTTAGGGAAAAAAAAGTAAATATTTAATTACCAATTGCTTAATGATGGCAGACAATCATCTGACCCATAGGTGGCAGCCATCTCAAGCCAGAGGACGAGAGGACTCTAGCCTTTGAAGCTTTCGTGACTGCAATGATTCATATTCTTAGGTTTTTTCGGTAAAGTCACGTAGGTAAAAAACATAAAAAAGTAAAATAAAATAAAAATCACGACGTTTCGGAGGCAACGCAAGCTTCCGTCTTCAGGTGGTACCGTCACAGCCAGGACAGCTGTATCAAGTAAATGAGAGATTCCAGGAACTACCACTCCGTTTATATAATGGTTGGAGAAGATGGTGGGGCAAGGGCCGCATACTTTTTATTAATATGGTAAGGTGAGGCTTGAGACTAAGAATAGACTGCATAACAAAGGCTGAGCCTTTGTTACGGAGAGGTGCGGTTTGTGACGCAACCTGTGACAGGGGGGACCACCATTAAACATGGTAAAACTGTAATGGTTCTCTGTCAAATAAGATTGGCAAATAAGTGTAGTTAAATCTTTTTTGCATGGTTAATCACATCTTTCCAATGATTACTCAGTTTGTAACCGTCATCACGGTTGAAATTATGTCTGTGTTTGTATATTTGTATGGCTTCGTGTACAAACCTTTGATGGTAGCCAGGAGGTTTGCAGAGAACCTTGGTCTCGGAAAATACAATTTCATGAGAGCCCACCGAGTTGTAGCAATGATCGGCAACAGCCGAAGAATCAGTTCTGCCGTGTTTCAGATCTGACTTGTGCTCGCGGACACGATCAGAAACATGACGTTTCGTTTCTCCAATGTAGCAATCACCACAAATGCAACTCAATTTGTAGACTCCAGGATACTGTAAGTCAGGAACGACATCCTTCACAGATGGAATCAAATCACGGATTTTATGCACTGTACTGAATCGGACTTGGATCTTATGTTTGTTTAGAATTTTAGAGATCTTTTTGGTCACGCCTGCTATGTATGGCAACGTGATAGTTTTGGTCGGAGTTTCATGTGGCTGTTTCTGTATGATGGGAGTAGATGCATATAAAGGATTTATAGTGAAAAACTTTGTTTTTACGGGTTAATTTATACATTAATCAAAAGTGACATTTTTTAAGTGTCTCACCTGAATTGTTCTCACCTTCCGACATTGGCCGTGCAATGAACTTCTCGCTCTCCATCCACTCGGTGTTATTCTCCGTATTCCAAGGCTCGCCGGAAACATAAGCTGCGTCCCCAAACCTTTTGTTTAAAAATACGTGGGTGGGGCGGAAGCGTCACAATCTGGTGAATATGGTACCATAATCTATTTACCTTCTGTCAACAAAACTCGACTTTCTGGACAAGAAACGTTTGTGGGTTATCGATTTATTTCTCCCCCCGAGTTATCCTTCATTTGCCTTCCCCCACTCGGGTATTTTTTGGGGGAATTTCTGACGATGCTGGTGGAACGAGCCTTCTCTTTTCAAAGCCTCATGCCAGCAATCCTTTCTCAACTATGGCTATTTGAGCCTGTCATCCATCCATTAACGTATAAGCATATTTGGTGGATCATGTGAAGATTGAGCCATTGCGTGTGAAACATTCACTTCTTGGGTAGCAAGGTGGTGCCTATAGGAGGCAGTAGAATAAATACATATCCCCCACCCCGCTAGTTTTATCAGCTTTCTACAACCACTCTGGCTTCCTACTTAATGTAGATACAATATATAGAAACATACCTTGAGGTGGCTGGGTGGTTCAGGGGCTAGAACACTGAGCTGGCACTGCTCAGCTCCTGGGTTAAAATTGTTGTTTCAGCTGCCAGTGATTAAACTGGGTCCTCAATTATAGTGAGTTGATCGTCTAAGCACGGTCGCCAATAACTGCACAAAAAACGCCATCGCATGGAAACACGTCTTACTTAATTTGGCTGAATTGCAGCAGCATTGAGAAGTAAAAATACCATTTTGATTGCGATGTGAGGAATATTGATCTCGGAGAGTGTGGGAATGTGTGCCAACCAGTATGTTGATGAGAGGTCATGTGAATAACTCTCACACTTGTGGTCCTTTTTCTAACACACGCGGTGATGCACTCTCTGTGGGAGTTCTGAATCGACACTCATGGAAATACACCGAGAGCACAATTGGAATACATTTGGGGACGTTGACCGAATACGTCAAAATTGTAACTTCCTGAAAATGACTCCTGATACATGGTGAGGCTTTCATCAGTAAACAACCACTGATTTTTGTTCCTGGGTAATAAGTGTTATTTCGTTATTGCTTATGCCTAAAAAGTATAGAAAATGGCTATTATTCCCCACAACCTTTGCTTTTGTGACCAGGACAGTGATATTTTTGAAATTTACGTATTTTCAATGAGAAAACTGGCGAATTTGTGTTTTTTCGTTCACATAAAGTCATTTTAAAAAACACATCAAACAAACAAAAACTTGCTCTGACAGTATGTGCATGTTTTATTGGCAGAAAAGAGAAAACCTATTATCATAATGTAATACTGGCAAAGGAGGTCTGTTGATGTAGCTGCTCACCCCGACCTCGCAATGTCCTGATAGTGCCATTGTCTTTGTGCTGTTCGCCTTTTGGCGTCCTCTGGTCTAACACCGTTTTGAGACAAGGCTCAAAAGAAAGCTGTCTCTGGTGTGGACCAATCAGTTTCAAAGACAATGCATATATTATCAGAGTATGTTTTGTTTGCATTCTGACCACAAGTATTGTGGTTAATGCAGATATGATTCCTTGTAAAAGGTTTCAGTTTGGTGTTTTAACATCTTAACACTTGTTTTGTTGCCCGAAAAAAGGGGAAAACCTATTCTCAAAGTTCATGGCTCTTTTTTCCCCTCTGCACCATCCTACAAAAATAAATGTATTTCCCTCATGACTAATGTGTAAGAGATTCTCGCAACATTTTTCATATACGATATATTTTTTCTATAACATTGAAAATTGTAAACCATTTCAAAATAAAAAAAAACTTTAATAATTAGTTTTTGTTACAAATTTGATAACATACAATTCCGAGCAACAATTGTTCATCTTACCTTCCAGAGTTATTTTTGCATTGCTCGCAGGTGAAATGAAGTGCCCAGGGTTTGTCTTGATCCCCGACAGGCATGCCGAAATATGCCTTGTAGGCCTCACACATCTTAGCAGATGCTTCCACAGAGTACTTTTTCGCTCTTGTCTTGATCAATTGGCCGCAGACATAGCAAAATGTGTCTGCCGGATGCTTGCAGCCTCTTGATGCCATCTCAGAAAAATGCAGATATGGATCCACTTAGGCAGCTGGAACTAAACTGAACTGGTGGGCTTAAGGCCCCTGTATTTATACTACTCCTTGTATTATTGGAAGTTCTAGAATGTTTTAGAAGTTACTCCAAGTTTACTCAGCATTGAAACTATCTGGAATATTCTGGAAAATAGGTACATTTCAAAATACCACTGTCCTGGTCACAAAAGCAAAGTGTGTGGGGAATAATAGCCATTTTCTGGACTTTTGAGGCATAAGAAATTAGGAAATAACACTTACTACCCAAGAACAAAATAATGTTACACAGTGTTAATTATTTTAATAATATTGTACTCAAGGCGTATATGCTCAGTAAAGCTTTCAAAGCATAACCACATCACCTGTGTGATTATAGATTTTATCGCTGTAAGAATGGCATGAATAGCAAATGCACTATTTATGAAATGGTTAGATCGGTGGCACAGTTGTCGGTGCACTCCGCTATTATCCCAGCGACCTTCATTGAATGTATAGACACGGCTCACATCAGTGGCGAGTGACATCTAAACTGGTCCTGGCTTCCACCCACCTTCAGCTATCAACACTTCACAAGCCCAATGCCCGACAAAGTATGACGAGGTCCATCCAGCAGTGGATTAAGAAAGGGATATAAATTATACGATTAAAATTGAGTCTGTATCTCAAGGTGTATATTGAATTGTCAGTAGTGGTGCTGGCTTCAACAGGCGATGGTCGGCCACAAAAACAAAGACCCCCCGTACAGCCATAACAGACTTTTTTGTTAAATGCTGTTTGCACGCACCTATGAAGGCCGGCACGGCACACGAGGGGTGAAAGGCCAGCACAACGCCCGGCCACCTTTGTGTCCCCAGTGTCAATGTTTACACACCACAACAGATACTCATTTGAAGCTGAGAGGCCCAGGACCGGTTTCAGATAATCGTCACTGTTGTTGGTAGCGAGCGGGAATCGAACTCTGGTCGCCAAATCCATAGTGCAGCATGTTAACCGTTGCACTACTGCTCCCTACACACACTCACACATATACTTACTCAGCCCTTAGCTGAATTACTCATAGTAATAACAATAATTACAATAATAATCTCACACGCACACACGTATTTACATGTCATGGGACCTGGTGAATTGAAGACATATATCATAAAATAAACACTGCATTGTGTTTCGTGGTGCTGTACTGTCTATAGAAAATGTACGAGTATAGTGCGACAAACGGGTTTATTTGTAAAGGTGTTGCTGCAACTGGCTAATGACAGCACGCTCATTGCCACCTATAATTAGTGACAACGGCGGCATAGGCAAGTGTATTTTACGTTACCCTACATTAACACTGCTAACAAACCTTACACTGTGTACTTATTTTTAAGTGCTAGCAGGTGTTGGAAATTCCACCTTCAATCGATGTTTTTCTTTCAATGGCATAACACATTTTTTCTAAACGAAACATGCAGTATTTACAAATTATGGCGCTACAGATTTAATAAAGATAATTTTCGTGGTCTTCGACGGAATGAAATGCAACTTGCAAAGTGGAAAAGCCAACATTGGCCCCCATGGCGTGCAGGCTGTTTTGTTTTTTGTTTGCTCTCAGAAGCCCCAGGAGGTGCGGTGACTTGGGGGGACGACTGAAACTCTGCATTTAAGAACACAAGAAAGTCTTCTTCTTGGTTCTTTCGGTAAAGTCACGTAGAATGGAAATAATAAAATAATAATTAATTATATAAAATAATAATTATTTCCATTCTACGTGACTTTACCGAAAGAACCAAGAAGATGAATCCCTGCAGTCACGAAAGCTTTAAATCGAAACACAAGAAAGGTTACATTGGGTTCATCTAGCCCAGGGGTCGGCAACCAAAATAACAAGAAGAGCCATTTCTTTCCAATTCGGTACAAAATTCAGTATTTCAAGAGCCGCAATGCATCTGAGTACATACGTACTCATCGTCAAGAAGCAGCCCGTAAAGAGCCGCATGCGGCTCCGGAGCCGTAGGTTGCCGACCCCTGATCTAGCCCAGTAGCCGATCAATTCTGGAACCTCATCAAGGCGTTTCTTGAAGAGTCTCAGTGAATCAGCCTCTACCGCGTGTTGGGGCAGCCTGTCCCAGGCTTCCACCGTTCTTACGTAACACACAATCACCCCGTGGCCTCGGTTCTGAACTTTCCCCCACACCCAGCTCCCCCCCCCCCCCCCCCCCCCCCTTGGCCTCTGGGTTTCTTCTCCGTGTTGAAGTACCTGTAGTCGTGCAGATCGACTGGGTTAATGTCATTAATTTGGTCAATATTATATGCCGAATCAATCGGTACGAAGCATTTTGCGATTGGTTGAACGCCTACTCCGATGCTTCAGATCAGTGCGGTTATCGTGTCCACACGGGGACCAGATAAATCGGGTCTCCATACACTTGTTGCCTTTGATAGGCCATGGCACACAGCCCAGAGTAACAGAGGAAACGTTCCAAAACTACAGCCCTTGCTGACGTCACGCAATCACGATGCTATACCCAGAGACCTAATATAAAAACAGGAATATATATATACCGGGTCTGGGACGATTCACCACCACCCCCGCACCCTATCTTCTTCTTTCGTAAGACATTTGTAAAAGGTGATAGGGTGCATTTTTCTTTCATTTTGTAAGCCATCCCACGGCATCTGTGCTGGTAGGTGAGTGGAGTCCACTTGTTCCACCAGAATAGGCGCCTTGTATTGGGCATCGATCAGCAATACGCCTCATGGTTTGCACCTCACCGCATTCACAGTTTGGTGAGTTCCTGATTTTCCATCGATGGAGGAAGATCCACACCTTCCCTTTGTTGTTGAGCTAATCTTGTACTGTATTAATAGGATTCGTCATCTTTCCCTTCCACCGCCTCATTTGCGACGATGTACAGCTGGTTGTCCTTCCCATACCTCCGATTGGCACGGTTTACTACGTATGGTACAAAAGAAGTTCAACATATATACAAATATACGATGGGACCCGAACGAATTTCCACCATCATCCATCTCTTCTAGATCGTCTGATGTTATCTCGAGTTCATCTCTCGTATCTAGCAGAAGTACTGCAGTAGTAGTAGTAGTCGTGGGAGTATTAGTTTGTAGTTAAGCTCCCAGACACATAATGCCATTGCGTACAGGGCTGGTGAAGGAGGGCGCTGTTTTTAATTTGCGGCGGCCGCAGGCAAATGAAAGTGCTCGCGCGCCAAGCGAGGGAGGATCTGTGGCACCCAGGCAGCCTCGCCGAGAGAGATGATATCGCCGGAGGAAGCGGATGGGGCCACCGTGTTTACTTTTTTTTTCCAGGAAGGCTTTGAAGGCCTTAACAAAGGATCAGTTTTGCGTTAATGAAATTTGGGAGTTTTCATTTTAAATAAATGCGAGCCAGAAATTCAATATTGGTGAAATATCTCAAATGCCCATTTTTTTTCCACTCCTCGTGTTATCACTTTTGGAGATCGTTTTTTTATGGGCAGTGTGTTGGGAAAAAGTTTTACATTTAATTGAGTTGGAAAAACACAAGTATTTACATTTAATTCTGTTCCAAAATGTATGGGATTTTTTTGTTATTTCGTCTAAGTTTGGGAGGGCACTACATTCAATCGCGCGTGTGCACCATAGACACATTGTAAATTCAAGAGTGTACAAATCTGTGTTGATAAATTACTCTTCAACGTAACCATCGCTATATATTTAGGTTAAGAACATTGTAAAATTTAACTTCTATGTTGATCCCGTTGGCCTTTTGAGTCTTGGGCTCTGAGGAAAGTAGTCCACCAATGCTTGTGCAGGCCTTGCTTTCTGCAATTATACAAAAGCCTTTGTATACTGTGTCACAGGTCACCGTTACGGAAAGGAATGTCACTGACATTTCTAATATGCAGCTCTCCCAGGTGTTGATTTATTCCATTAGGACGGCACGGCAAAATATCAGCAAATAAACCCGTCTCAATTTTAGTTTCTCTCTACCTATAATGTAGTGTTTGAAGAAAATGTGTTTAAATGTTGTCACGACTCCACTGTACGTAAATCCGCACACCACCAATTACATGGTACACGGCATGTACACACACAAGTTGAGCCACACAATCCCACACACACACACACACTGTACCCAAAGCACAATTTGAGACACACAAAGACACCATGTACACACACACACACACAAAGAGACATCTAAACCCAAATCCCACACACGGACACACCGTGTATACTTACACACACACACACACAAGCAATGGCACAGACGAATAACAATTCCCCCCACCGATGTGGTCAAGAGACAGTAATGGCTTAGGTGAAGGGGTTAAACCGAACGCCGGAGAGCCCAGCGCCACTGTGTCTGGCGGCAAGGGGCCGCAGCCGCGACTACTCCACATAAAGATAAAGATCCCCCGTATAGCCTGAACAGACTGTAGGGGCAAGTGCTGTTAGCGAGCACCTATGAAGGCCGGAACGGTACACGAGGGGGTGGGTGGCCAGCACCACGCCCGACCGCCTTTGTCTCCCTAGTGGCGATGTTTACACACCGCACCAGGTACTCATTTAAGGCTGAGTCGACCTAGGGGAGGCCCAGGACCGGTTCAGATAATCGTCACTGGTGTTAGCCGTGAGCGGGAATCGAACCCGGGTCGCCAGGTTCATAGCGCAGCGCGCTAACCGCTACACTACCGCTCCCACATGGCTACAGTTACACACACACACACGCGCACATCATTGTCGTGAGGACGACGATCCCCAGTGCTGCACATCAGCATTGTTAGGATGTACAAACTGGGATATAATAGGATCACAACATAATTGCTATCTCTCTTAAATTACTTTGATAAAGGTGCAACGTGCTCGCCAGTCTATAAATTAGGCAAGCGTAAAGATGGATTTTTTTCCTACCCTAATTAACATGACCTCATCTGCTCTTTCCATCATATTATTGCTGGTTGCAAGCTAAAAGCCTGCTGGCAAACATTGCTGCTGCACTGCATTAGCTCAGACCAATCAAAC